GTTTTTTTTTCCTCTATTTTTAATTATATGTTTTGTCTATAAATTGCTATTGTTTGTATATATATTTTCTGTCTTCTTTGCTATTGTGTCGTATGTATATTTTCTGTCTTTTTTTGCTATAGTTGGTGTATATATTTTTTATCATTAGTATTTAACATATTGTGTGTAAATAAAACTATTAGAGTGTATCATGATGATGATGACATTTCCTTTTGTCGTCTCCTCAATTTCATAAAGTAGAAAGGTATGCTATTTTTAACATAAAATGAATAAAACATCAATATTAGTAATACGACGGGATTAGGAGAGTTAATATCAGGCACTAGACAGATGGAATTTCAACTATAATTTAATCGCTAATTTTTTAATAATTTTATAATGTAACAGAAGAACTCATCTTTATGTCTTCAGTAGCAAAAACATACGACTTTTATATAAAGTTACGATAGCCTTTAGACTCCTTTAATTTGGTCTCGCCACAAAATCCATTTTTGACTGACGCCTCCTCCCTACAAACTACATACCTACTAAATTTCAATTTCTTATGTAGTTTTTGAGATTTCAAACTTAGTCAGTGAGTAAATGAGTGACCATTCGCTTTTATATATTTAGACTTCGCAATAGTTTCGTTACTTTTGTTTGTAGTATTATAAAAAAATCACAAAAGTTTGACGATGAGAAACTAGAGAGACTATTAACAGAAGATCCTACTCAGACTGAAGCTGAGCTTGCACTACAACTCAACAATGCGTTTCACATCGTCTACATCAACTTGGTAAAGTTAAAAACAAGATAATTTTTAGTATTAGTAAGGATTGCAATAATTTCAAAGTTTCTTGAAAGGTTGGTTGCCTAACTTTAGTAATCGTGAATGAAATTTACTATTAGGTATATCTAACATTGATAAACTCTAAAGTTACCATGCCTGCTTCCGTGGAATTTTGTCACCTACATAATCTAATTTTTCGTTTTGTTCAGGAGCAATTTCTTTTCCTCGATTGAGTATATTAATTAGACCGATAATGAAAAAAACATCATTGTAAAACGTTTTGCAAAACGTTTCCGCTCCATTTTATATTTCAACGGTGTAACTTCTAAAATGTTACGGTTTCTGCAAGAAACGGATTAGTTGAGAAACTATGTCAAAAATACTGATGACGAAAACGTACCGACCTATTGGAACAGTATTAATTAAGAGCACCTTCGACGGTATTACAATAACTTATAGATAGAAATTTTTAAGTGAGAAATTCAATAAAGAAAGTATGAAAAATTACTTTATTCGAATCAGAATTTTGCACTAAATAGTTTAAAATAAAATTTTGTACGAGAGGTATAGGTTTTATTATGATCTTTTGAATCGAAAAAGTTTAAATTTTACGGCAAAATTGATTGGTGATTTAAATGATTATAATATACGTAACTAATTGAAAATTCAATTTAAGCACTCAAGGAATCCATGACACATTTCTGAAGGCATAATCGTTACTACATGGTAAAAAATTGGCTTCCCATAAAATCATTAGAGATTTAACCAACCCCCTAATCTAACCTAACCTAAGCTAACCAACTACCTAGGATTGTAGTAATTTTTTTATAGACAGCTTCTGGGTACAATAAACCTATTTGATTGACTTATTTGATATTCAATGTGGTATTATCCATTTAATCTCCGGTTCACAAGGAAATATGGTTAAAGTGATATATACGAGGTCTGTTCAAAAAGCAAATTTTGTGTTTTTTTTATTATTAGAGTAAAGTCGGTGAATGTGGAATAGGTCAGGTAATGTGGAATACCATACCATGTTTGTTATAGGTGTCGTATTGTTTAATCAGAAATGATTTCGCAGGTGGCTGACATTTTGTAGGGTAGTGATACTGTTAACTGTTACGCATTTGTTTGGACCGATTTAAAAATAGTGGTGCTGCGTGTAGTTACTGTAAGTGTTTTAGAGTGTGAGGTATGATATTACAGCCCTATAAAATTAACTTTATCCAAGTTTCTATATGGTCATAGTTTCGTGTCTATAAGTGGGTATTGTGGAATATCAATAGGTTTGCTATTGTGGACTATTCCACATAACCAATTCCATTTTCCCCTCCCTAACTCCCAATGAAGATGCCGAATGTATTTTTTGTGCAGGTAAATTTTCTGAAGATACAAGAGGAGAGGTTTGGATACAATGCATAATGTGTAGTGGCTGGTGCCATGAAGTGTGTGCAGGAAATGAAAGAGAAGTTTATATTTGTGATTTCTGCCAGTAGATATTATGATTACCTGTTTTTTTAGTCTTCTTTTTTTGTATCATGTAAAATGTTAGTCAAATAAAATATTTTTCTCGTTGTAGGTGAAATTATTTACTGAAAATGGTGGCGTGTTAATTCCATGGTAATATCCTATTCCACATTACCTTATAGGACTATTCCACTTTACCTACCCATTTTAACAATCTGAGAATTTGTTGACTTTGATTATTTCGTCTGTTAAAAGGTATAGATTATGTGCTACGTCGCCTAGACGGGAAAAACAAATAGCTAGCTGACTACAGATATTACCGTGAATAAAAAAATTACAGAAGTATGTTTAATAAACTTGTTTATAATTTTTAAAAAAATGGTATTCCACATTCACCGACCTTACTCTATCTATTACTATCCACTTGTGCCAACGTTTCTCCCCTCCGCGAAGCACTTCAAAAAATCATTTTTTGTGATCTTGTTCAGCTCCTCCGTCGATGCCGTTTTTATCTCCTGAATCGGAGCGTAGCGTCCTCCTTCCATGGGCCTCTTCAGTTTCGGGAACAAGAAAAAGATACAGGGTGCCAGATCTGGGACATACAGTGACTGTGGCATTATTAGTGTCTTGTTGCAGGTAATATTCCTTATTGACCGTTATACCCTATGGCAATAACTCATTATGCACCACGCCCCTGCAATCGAAGAAAAATGTAAGAAAATCCTTCACATTCGATCTAACTCGTGCGACAGCTTCCATTGGGATGATTCAACTTTGTTTTCCGCGTCATAACCATAAATCCATCATTCATCACCAGTTATGACCCTCTGGAGCAAATTTGGGTCGTCGCGGACAGAGTCCAACGGCTTCTTAGTCAAAGCGATGCTGTTTTTGGTCGAAATTGAGCAATTTTGGTACGAATTTCGTGGCAACACGTCTCATGCCCAAATCATTGGTAAAAATCGAATGGCAGGAGCCAATCGATATGTTTAGGTCTTCAGAAACTTCTCTGGCGGTGATTCGACGATTGGCCAATTCTATATTCTTCACTTCATTAAGGTTTTTGTCTGTTGAAGATTTGGTCGGGCGTCCGGCACGATCTTCGTCGTTAAATTCGCGATTTTTTTAACGGATCTCACATAACTAAGGTCCACAGTACTACAGTACTCGCGCTTTAATATTATTTATGCCATTGATTTCCAGCGTAATGCGATTTTTAATACCTATATGATAACTAACATCCCCCGCTTGTAGGACAAACAACGTCACCATTATTGCTCAAGCTGTTCAAACGGGTGAGAAAGTTTAGGGAACTTAAAGACCAAAAGCGTTAAAGATCACAGATGGGACAATTTGGAACCGGTACCCGGCGGATCCGGCACATTTTTTAAGGTGTGTTTATTGACGCTGGGGATCTAGCAGTGTCGGGTAATTCTACCAGAGAAAACGAAGAAAATAAAACACCAAAAATTATAATTTATTGAATATAACAAAAAACGTACTCAATAAAAGTTGGATTGTATTGGGAAAGGTCGTTTGTCCTAATTTGTATTATTGATTAATTACTATACTAAATTATTTGTTACTTCGACATAGTTCTTTTTTTCTTATGAACAAGAATAAATCAGTACAGATGAACTATTACATTGGTCTATGAATTTTTGATTAACCATTAGTTACCAATATAATTTTGTCACCTTGCCGACTTTTAGTGTTTATGAACTCAATTCGCTAATCACGAATAAGAATTTTATTGGTTTCGTATTTGAACGACTTTTTGAATGGGACTTGATGTGGTTTGGGACGTTGATGAGGCTAGTATTTAATGGAAAGACCGCCAGAACAAAGACTTGACAGAACCCTAAGCTGACGGCGCCACATTTCAGCCACTTATTTCAAGATCATGGACGCAATCATCGCACTCAAGCCTTTCAAACAAAAATCCGAGCGTTTAACGCAATTATCAGGAGCATATTTGCTCCTATGCCATTCCTGTCTGAAGCTGTGCCCTTCCCCACTGCATAAAACTTCTACAAGGCACCTATATGCGGATCCTTCGTTCCGCATTCAACTCAGTGTTCGGAACCGTACGATAATTATCGTACACATACGATAATTTCATGTCTACGTACGATGTACGATATCATATTATTATCGTACGCAGATTGTACGATAATTTTCATGCATTCAAAATTTATTTTATTCTTACCCTCTCAGACAATATCACGAAGACATTTTTTTATTAGCGAATATTTTTTTTCTTTTTTCTCACAGCGCTATAAACATTTTTGTTATACGCAGTGTTAAATTTAGAAGAACGTGCCTGCAAAAGAACGTTATCATGCTAGTATGTAGGTTTTTCCTCGGCAGGTAACATCCCTTCGTGTTGGTTACCAGATGGGTCGATGGTCTTCCCATCCACAATTTTGTGATTTTAGTCATGTAGCCACTAACCATAGCCTAAGGTCAAAAACACCCCACTAACGTACCTCCACCCCCTATATCTTGTTATATTTAAGTATTTTTCTATTATTGATTTTTAATTTAAAGGGTGGGGGTAGTTCAGATCTGTCTTTTTACACGATTAATACGAGTAATTTACTAATTATAGTGATTATTTTGAAGAGTACGATAATTTTGCTCCATGTACGATAATTCTACGCTACAGGTACGGTAGTTTCCTCGCTTCAGGTTGTGAACACTGATTCAACTACCCCTGGTTCGTCAGAAGCACACAAATTCTGAAAGAAACCGGTTAACCTTTTCTCTCTCAAACCAAACGACCGTTTCAGAAGATCCTGCCATCTTCCACCCTTTTGCTCTTCTCTAGCTTCGCTCTTTAGCGCGAGTGCCCACCCATGACATCAGAGGTGGACTACCTATTATCTACATTTTATCCTCCAAACACTCCCGTCTCCTCCCTACATTTAACCCTTTTCCCAATTCAATCTTCCCACTCCCAGTCTTTTCATTTCTTTCCCGGGGATGTATAACCTTCGGGTTGATATTCCCGCTCGAGGAATGGTTCTAGTCGGTAAATATCCGATATTATCTCCAGAAGGGAGGAAGATGTCCCCTCCTCGAGAATAATCTAAACAAGAAAAAAGAACAAATACCATTAACCGCAAGGGTTTTGAATACCCGGTTATCTGGTACTCGGTAAAATCACTATCCTCTGCATCTCTATTAAAGATGCTCTCAAGAAGAGTGCCTTTAGTTTTATAGCTACAGCTTGGAACTAATATTTTCATTTGTTTCTAAAATTTTTTGTTGAATAATGGAGCCCTAGCATCAATATCCCCAATCCAGCAACACCAACATGTTTAGTAATTTCGGTAAGTTTTTAGATATATTGTGACTTAAAAAAACAACGTTCGAATCAATTCACTTGCAATACATTTATTACACATGAGCATGTTTCAAGATAATTTTTGCAATTTCTCTTTCAACACTCAACAGAACAATATTATCGGCTAATAATAATTGTACCTACCGACATAAGTACTTCTTCATTGTACACCGCGAGCTTTACAACGTTCTTTGGCTCTTAATTCGTCTGATCTCAGTTTCTAAGTTTCGTTAAAGGCTTATACTCACTTCGGAAACTTCAATCAGTGTTAAAATATCATATAGTCCGCGGCGATGATTTTAAAGTGGTTAACTTTAGTGTTTGTCGCACATATCGTCTTGACCAGTGATAATTCGTACGTTCCTATTACACAAAATTTAATACGATATTATGTTGAACTTATTACAACGGAAATGCAAAGGGCATTAACAAGTGTTCTACCTACAAGTGCGCACTTCTATGAACCGGAGGATCCTCATATCATAGGTAATATGCAGAGATATGATTTATTTGAAATACTTGCATTTAAAATGCAAATACAAAACAAAATTACCTATTTTTATCTTGTATTTAAATACCTTTTTGGGAAAAGCATTGTGTGTATCATTTAAAATCCTTTTCCAAACGTATTTTCTATCTGTAAAATGCAAAATATATTTTTACCATTAAAAGTTCCGATCAAACATTATACATTATACAAAATGATGAATGAATGTTGCCCACAATGGCCATTGAAGGTATTAGATGCTTCAAAAGGAAACAAAGAGACATTCCATGAATGTCCTCTAATTCTTTAACTGAAGAGAACCCAAAAAATTCTAAACTCCTTGGAAATGGATAATCTAAAATATTGGATCGATATTATTTTCCGGGTTCAATGTCATGGTCTACGGAATTTTGAATTTCCAAATTGATATCAGTACCTTCCGAATCACCACTTGTCGTACCTTTATGTATTTTATTGTATGAATTACGACAAAACAGCCCGCAAAACAATATCGAATTGACATACGCCAGCTGTGTAAATCTGAAAACTACAAGATATTGTGGTGTGCTAATAAATGTGTTTATTTTACAGCAATAAAATTATTTGCAACCCTATTTTGGCTCTGATCCTTCACGGTAAACAAACTATTTAGGCATCAGTGTCTTTTTTTCAATTGAAGCGGGTGACAAAGGATAAGGAAAAATATAGAAGAATTATTTGTTGCTGAACTGAAGAAACTATAACATTTCTAACCTTTTCTACCCACGTTATCCTCATCATTCGCTTATAACACCACATTTCGAACGCTTCTAACCTTTTCTTTTTCGCCGCGCCCAACGTCTATGTTTAGCACCCATACAACGCCGCGCTCCAAACATACACCTTTAACAATCTTTTCCAAATTTCAATATTAATCGTTCGCGAGCATAGAAGTGACTTCTTTTTACTGAAGGCGACTCGACCTTGTGCTATCGTCTGCTTAATATCTCTACTACTCCTTTCGTCNTGAAATAGCAAATCAAAAAAGTATTTGCATTTTGTATTTTAAACACTTTTAAAAAATTATTATGCACATTTTTATGTAATACAAAAATTATTTAAAGCGGAAATATAAAATAACAAAAACTATGTGCAACATTGGAAAAAAATGTCATTTATACTCAGGAACACATTGCTAATTTTTTTGGGGATTACATGTAAATAAAAAATTATGAATTGGGTTAATTGTAATTTCTAGCATTTGTACATTTACATTTAGAAACAACGTAAAAACTGAAAAAAATGTCAGTCAGAAAGTGATAGAAACCTCTTACAATTAGATTCTTAGATGTATTTCATCAATATCAGACAACTAAATAGAGTTTTGTGTAAGTAAACGAAACGAAACAAAACAATCAAACCCAACAATAAAATTTTAAATGTCTAAAGTATGTTTCGACGTCCAAGGTGTCATCCTCAGTAAGGACCTATTTATACGGAATTCATACAGATAATGTAATACAAACGCATATTTTTTATATAAACCTTACCCAAATTGTAAATTTGTAATATGTTCATTTGTAGTAATCTGGGTATGAATATTTGACAGGTGTACTGTGTTGAATTGATTTATTAACTTAAACAATTGACAGATTCTTCAGATTCTTTTGTTATAAAGGTATTTTACATTGTTATTAACAAAACAACAACCATAATTGGCTTGTGTCTAAGCAAATTAACTACTTGGAGTCAACAGTGACTCGTTTAGGTATGCTAACAAATCAATTCGATACCACACCTTGACGAGTATTAATACGCAGATTAAAACGAATGAAATATTTACACGATTAAGGAAAATAATATTCACGGATCTTTAAACCTCTTAATAAAACAAGCTAGTACCTTAAACAAAAAGGAAAGGTCTTACCCCAACTAGCTACAACAGTTTAAAAAAGAACGCGCGGTAATTGAACACGTAGGTACTTTTCCCTTAACCACACATTCCCTACACGTGTTTGTCGAAATACACATAGGTCAAAAGCTTTTAACTACGATCCAATTAATTGGTTTATCCTGGTTTTTGACTTAAGACATTGTGCGTATTCCAAATTTTTCCCCCGCTCTTACCCTTTGTAGCAGCATATATATTTAGCCCCATTGATAATAAAAACTTAGCTTTGCGTTGAAAATGCTCACAACGTGAAAGTGAACGAAACACGTATTAATGGGGTAAGACCTTTTCTTTTTGATTTTATTATTCCGCCACAGTCTCCTTTATATTTATTTCAAGCTAGTAACTTATTTACGATTTGACGACTGCCGCTTCATCCAGCTAACCGCCCTTATAAGCTATTGAATAGAGACGAAAAGAAAGTTTGGAATAATTGCGTTAAAGGGGCATTATATTATAATATGTTAGTTTGACCTCTTAAGATTATAAAACCACAAAAGGCCCCTTTTTTAATTGGTGCGTTTTTGAGTAATCTTAAAAAAGGCACCCCTTTCGGTTTTCTCCAGATAACGCAAAAACGAGGCAATTTTCAACATTTTTACACGAGTACTGTCCTTTAGAAATACCTAATTTAATTTTCGTTTTACGATTTTTAGTATTAACATAAATAAAAAACGATGTAGAAAATTTCAAAAAAATCGCCTTTTTTAAAAAAGTCGGTATTGTTTTTAAGATACGGTAAATGACTATCAAATGAATACAAGAGTAGAATTTGTCTTTTTGTTGTAATTTTGTAAAGCCATAATTCGGACGAAATCCGTAATTACTGTCAGGGTATAGTTAGTATATAATTTGTCAATTCGTTATTTAATAAATTTTGTTTGTTTTTTAAATTAAGGATTCTGCATATTATCATAACATTGTTTTCAAATTATATATTTTTTCTAGTTTCATGTTTTTTAGTATCATCATCATTATCATCATCATCATAAGGTCGTCAGTCCTAAGACTTGTTGGACAAGCACCCGCACTCTTTCCTCTCCTGAGCTAAACTTCGCATTTCCCTAAAACTAGAACAGCCCACATCCTTAACTATTTGCGAAGAGTAATCTAATCTAGGTCTACCTCTACCCCTCCTAACTCCTGTTTCTGCCTCTAATATGTCTCTGACTAGACCTTCATGCCTGAGAAGGTGTCCTACTAACCTATCTCGCCTATTTCTTATTGACTTCCATAGAGTCCTCTGTTCTCCTATTCTTTCTAATACCTCTTCATTTCTAACCTTCTCTATCCATGGTATCCTCATCATTCGCCTGTAACATCACATTTCGAACGCTTCTAACTTTTTTTTTCCGCAACCCCACCGACCATATTTCACACCCGTACAACGCCGCGCTCCAAACATACACCTTTAACAGTCTTTTTCGCATTTCTAAATTAACTGTTCGTGAGCAAAGTGACTTCTTTTTATTGAAGGCGACTTGACCCTGCGCTATCCTCTGCTTTATATCCCGACTACTCCTTCCGTCTTGACTTATCTGATTTCTAAATTATAATTTATTACATCTTTAATATTAAGACAGATTAAGAGGTAATATTTAAAAAATTTCATAACTTACTTTTTAAATACGAAAGCTGTTTTGTAAAATGTACATTCTATATCAAATTTTCTTTATGAATTAGTCTTTTACATTTAATATTTTCTTTTTTCTTCTTTATTTAGTAGGTATATCTACTAAACGTTTATGAACGCAAGTAGAGATACAGAAGCATGAAATAGTGTGTTACAAATTAGATTATTTTTCACCTTTATTCATGACAATGCAACACTGATAAAACGTATTTACCTGTAATATAAAATTTCAATGTTTAAAACAGATTTTTGTTAAATACCATGACATATGTATCAGTTGAAGTGTAAAAATTATTAGAAAGTAAAATTTATTACACCATGTATTTTATTGTTCCATATTTTTATTGTATATTTTTATGTAGGAACAATAAAAAAAGAAAACTTCAAAATTTCGCAGAGAAAATTGTAATCTTTTATATGAACACATGTGGAAAATATGGCTTATTGTTAATATTGCATAATATCAAATAAAAGTATTGATTTATTTTTAAATTCGGGCGGTGAGGGGGGGGGGAATATTGGGTTTTTTGCATTCGATTCAACAAAGCCAAAATTCTTTAATACAGAACAAGTCATCATCATCATAAAGTCGTCATTCCTAAGACTGGTTGGACACGTACCTCCACTCTTTCCTATCCTGAGCTAAACTTCGCATTTCCCTAATACTAGAACAACCTTAACTATTTTCGAACAGTAATCTAAGTCCACCTCTACCTCTACTAACTTCCGTTTCTGCCTCTAATCTGTCTCTGACTAGACCTTCGTGCCTGAGAAGGTGTCTTACTAACCTATCTCGACTATTTCTAATTGACTTCCATAGAGTCCTCTGTTCTCCTACTCTTTCTAATACCTCTTCATTTCTAACCTTTTCTATCCACGTTATCCTCATCATTCGCCTATAACACCACATTTCAAACGCTTCTAACCTTTTCTTTTCCGCCGCGCCCACTGTCCATGTTTCGCACCCTTATAGCGCCATGCTCCAAACCTTTAAACCCGGAGATTCTGACATTATCTATAACTAGGTTTCTTGTTATTTCTAGTGGAAAACTTTAATTTCCTAATATGTCATGTTTTGGATCATACGTATAAGTACTTATAACTTGGAGATAGCGATATATAGTGTTGCCAAACTGCTTAGAGGTATTTAGGTTGGTACCAAGTCCAGGTACTGGTCCCGAAAATGCTCCCGGTATCGATCTAAGCTAAAATAAGTGGCTAATGGTAGAGGAATTTAAGATGGTTGGTTCTCTAATAGGAATTCAAGAAAATAAATATCCTTGCTCCCTTTGTTTATGTGACAATAGAGTAAACAAAACACATTACCAAGAGCAAACATGGCCCAACCGAACTGGATTCCACATAGTGGAAGATAATGTCAACGGGAATCAATTCTAGAACCCATCAAGGATGTATTGTTACCTCTATTATTTATTAAAGTTAAGCATAATGAAACGGTTTGTGAAGGTTTTCAATCAATGTCCTAGTAGTAGTTTTCTAGTGTTTGAAGAATTTTTTCCCAATGATAAAAAGCAATTATTTAATAATCGCGAAGAAGAAAGAAGAAGCTTTGAAGAAATAGGTCATAGATTTCTGGGAAATAACAGCAGCTTAGGTTTATAAAGCGTTGATTGAAACAATACTTGAGTGTACAATGCCCCTTAAATTGTATATTTTATGTTTCATGCGCACTTGAATCAATTCAAAAATACTATGGGCCCTTAGCCACAAGAACAAAAGGAACATTTTCACCAAGATTTTATGGATTTCGAACAACGTTATCAGGCAGAGAAAGTAATGAGAATAATAAGACGGGTTTGATACGAGAAAGTCCACACAAACACAAAAGGAGTGCAAAAATATTCATTCTTAAACTTTGCTTACCAATTATTTATTATTATATAATGCAAAACTGAAGTTAGTTTAAGTGTTAATATCCGAAATATTGTTATAGTTTGTACAAAAAAACTTTATCTGGTAGAACTATTTTTTCTTTAAGTAGTTAAAAAAATTGATAGTTGATATATATCATCAAACTATGTATACATCAGTATTGTTTGATTAATTATTATGAGTCTTTGATTTACACAACCTGCTAATTTACACTTCATCATCATATCCATTGTAAGGTCGTCAGTCCTAAGGCTGGTTGGACACGCACCTCCACTTTTTCCTATCCTGAGCTAATCTTCGCATTTCCCTAAAACTAGAACAACCCACATCCTTAACTATTTGCGAACAGTAATCTAATCTAGGTCTACCCCTACCCCTCCCATCTTCCGTTTCTGTCTGTAATACGTCTCTGACTAGGCCTTCATGTATGAGAAAGTACCAACCTATTTTGCCCATTTTTTATTGACCTCCATAGAGTCCACTGTTCTCCTATTCTTTCTAATACACAGTATCCTCATCATTCGCCTGTAACCTTCTAACACCGTACATCGCCGCGCTCCAAACATCCACCTTTAACGATAATTTTCGAATTTCTAAATTAGTTATTCGCGAGCGTAGAAGTTAGTTCCAACTTCTTTTTATTGAAGGCGACCCTGCACTATCCTCTGCTTTATATCTCTACTTCTCTTCCGTCCTGACTTATCTGACTACCTAGATACCTATAATCGGCCACTTCTTCTAATTTTTCGTCTCCTATCTTTATATTGGCTTCTTCCCTACCTTTTCTTCCCTTGCATTTCAGTATTTTTGTTTTAGTTAATAGAACTAATTTTATATTGTATTGTGAAATCTGGAATTAACCTTTTTTTTAATGAACTTTCAGATGCAGGGGAATTCGATTTTATTATCGTTGGAGCAGGTTCAGCTGGTGCAGTAATAGCAAATAGACTTACAGAAGTTAAGGAATGGAGCGTCCTTTTAATAGAAGCTGGTGATTTGGAAACAGATTTTAGTGATATACCTAATATGCATACTTACCTCCAAGGTTTAGAAATGAATTGGGGTTTTAACACGACTCCTCAAACCACTGCTTGTCTAGGTAAGATATAAATATCAGAACCTTTCATTTGGTGTAAGTTCATATTTAGAATGCTCAGTCAAAATATAAATAAATAAAGAACTTTGAAAAATCCACAATAATTCTTTATTTTTATTTATTTGACTTCAAGTCATTCTTCCATCTAAAAAAGCACTGTGTAAGAAGTAATTATTGGGGATTTTTCTATTAATAAAAGGTTTTGTACGTTTTGTTTTTAAAAAACACTTGTAACAATATAATGATATATAATTGCTTAATAAACGTGCAGTTTACTTATTTTCAAATGGCTTCTAATTGCTTATGCCGGGAGTTACTAAACATATGGCAAAACATTAACAAGTTATTGAATTATAATTTTAATGTCCAACTATTCGGGTAAAGGATACTTATTAATTGTAAAGTTCCAACGTTTCGCTCACTGGTTTTGAGCTTCGTCAAGGCTAAAGACAATTGGATTACATAAATTTAAAGGTAGAGTGAACAGACTTTTTTCTTTTTCTAAATTAACAATAGGTACCATTTCACGAGTTAATTTGAAGCTCTATACCAGTGAGCGAAACGTTGGAACTTTACAATTAATATAAATTAAGGTACCTAACGTACTATACCGAGTTTCTCAACAAGTGCAAAAAATTCAAATGAACTACTTGAAAATCGTTTTCACCGTCATATTCTATTGAAGGTGGGCGACCGACTAACTGAACCTGCTTTTTAAGCATTAAGACTTATTAGTCATGTGTATTGAATCTTTTGGAACATGAGAACATAACTTGCGATAACCATTTTAAATAATTCTTGTATATTAAGAAGCTTTACATGCATTATTTAGGTAATAAAGTATTATTTTTGTTTAAAAGCTTCAATCGCTCTATTGCTTCAAAGCAAAGCGGCTTTCCAAAAATCATCATAAGACAAAATATTTTTAGAATAACCCAGAAAATAACTCCTTCAATCTTTGCCGTATGTTTGAAAAATTATTTTCCTCTTCATTTTAGGTATGTGGAACAGAAGTTGTCACTACCCAAGAGGTAGAGTTTTGGGTGGCACCAGTTCTATTAACAGTTTGGCATATGTAAGAGGAAACCCATTAGACTACGACAAATGGGCAGCTCTTGGAAATACCGGTTGGTCCTACGAAGAAGTACTTCCTTACTTCAAAAAGTCGGAACACGCTCGTATTCAAAGCCCCGATGAGGAATACCACGGCTTTGGCGGATATTGGTTTGTTGAAAACCATCGTCCTAACAATGCGCATGCCACAGCATACATTCAAGCGAATATCGAAAGGGGAAGACGAGTGGTTGATTATAATGGTAGAGACCAATTGGGAGTTGCTGAAGTCCAATTTAACAACCAATACGGAACACGGTGTAGTACAGCGAAAGCTTTTCTGCGACCCATTCAACATAGAGAGAATCTCGAGATTTGGATCAACAGCTACGTTACCCAAATTCTTATTGATCAAGACAAAAAAGCTTACGGGGTGCGATTAGCTCACCGAGGGCAATATTTTGAAGCGAGAGCAAGAAAGGAGGTAATCGTATCTGCTGGATCAATACAATCACCTCAACTGCTAATGCTTTCTGGAATTGGACCTGCCAATCACTTAAAATCCGTTCAAATTCCAGTTGTCAAAGATCTTCCAGTTGGTCAAAATTTTAAAGATCATGCTGCATATTTTGGACTCTATTTTACTTCCAATTATACAGAACCCGTAGATACTCTAGAAAATTACGTTAATCAATACTTTAACGAATACGGACCCTACACAATTGCTCTTAATTCTCAAGCGGTTGGTTTCTATCAATCACATTTAGAAAGTACTCCTGGATATCCTGATATTGAATTATTTGTAATACCGGCTAATAGCAGTAATCCTATGATTCAGAGGTCACTTCACGTTACTGACGAAGTTTACGAAGCCGTTTGGGGTAGGGTCGATCCTACCACAATGATGTGTGTATATGTCATTGTTCTTCATCCCAAGTCCGTAGGGAGTATTACGCTTAAATCAAATGATCCTTATGAATATCCTAATATTGATCCTCGATACCTTTCGGATCCGTATGATCAAGATATTGAAACTATGTACGAGGGTATTCTGTTAGCTTTGGATTTAATAGATACAGATGCCTATAGAGCACGTAACATGAATTTGCTTTATGCTGCACCACCAGATTGTAGGAGATTCCCCTTTTCGTCCAGAGCTTTCTGGTACTGCTGCATGAGGCAGTTGACATCTAATTTGTACCACCCCATGAGTACTTGCAGAATGTCTCCTGATCCTGAAGAGGGAGTGGTCGATCCTAGACTGAGGGTACACGGTATCAAAAATTTAAGGGTTGCCGATTGCAGTATTATACCATATCCAGTCTCTGGACATACCAATGCTCCGACTGTTATGATCGGTGAGAAGGCGTCGGATTTGATTAAAGAAGACAATCTACCCGATTATAGTAATAAGAAATTATGTAAGCAGCATGCTTTTGATCTTTGAATTAAATTTTTTTAAAAGAAAGTAAAATCTTTAAATTTGTATAAAATGCTAATTATCAATTATTAGCCTACTTTTTTATTCCTCCTGCAATATACAATTTTATTTATATATATTTTACAAAATTGTATGACTTTACTACAATGTTAAAGTAAAATGGAAAACCATTGTTTCAACACTTAAAGTAGTGTTGCTCTTTTTCAAGTTTTTCTTATCCTTAAATAGTGTTACCAAATTTAGTGAGACGGTACTCTAAAAATTGATACTCGTTTTCAATTAATTCATTAACTACTACATTGTAACTGTTGTGAGCCCTGTTATATGAAAATTAGTTATCTTGATTTTACAAAAGTAAAAAAAAATAAAAAGAACAGATGAAGAAGTAACTACATTTATTGCAAATATTGAATTTTCTTATAAATTGGGGTATGTCAGTAAATGTTTTGCAAATATCCGGTAAATGACTATCAAATGAATACAAGAGTAGAATTTGTCTTTTTGTTGTAATTTTGTAAAGCCATAATTCGGACGAAATCCGTAATTACTGTCAGGGTATAGTTAGTATATAATTTGTCAATTCGTTATTTAATAAATTTTGTTTGTTTTTTAAATTAAGGATTCTGCATATTATCATAACATTGTTTTCAAATTATATATTTTTTCTAGTTTCATGTTTTTTAGTATCATCATCATTATCATCATCATCATAAGGTCGTCAGTCCTTAGACTGGTTGGACACGTTCCTCCATTCTTTCCTATCCTGAGTTAATCTTCGCATTTCCCTAAAACTAGAACAACCCACAACTTTCCGCCGCGTCCACCGTCCATGTTTCGCACCCGTACAACGCCGCGCTCCAAACATACACCTTTAACAATCTTTTTCGAATTTCTAAATTAACTGTTCGTGAGCAAAGTGACTTCTTTTTATTGAAGGCGACTTGACCCTGCGCTATCCTCTGCTTTATATCCCGACTACTCCTTCCGTCTTGACTTATCTGATTTCTAAATTATAATTTATTACATCTTTAATATTAAGACAGATTAAGAGGTAATATTTAAAAAATTTCATAACTTACTTTTTAAATACGAAAGCTGTTTTGTAAAATGTACATTCTATATCAAATTTTCTTTATGAATTAGTCTTTTACATTTAATATTTTCTTTTTTCTTCTTTATTTAGTAGGTATATCTACTAAACGTTTATGAACGCAAGTAGAGATACAGAAGCATGAAATAGTGTGTTACAAATTAGATTATTTTTCACCTTTATTCATGACAATGCAACACTGATAAAACGTATTTACCTGTAATATAAAATTTCAATGTTTAAAACNGGTACTCTAAAAATTGATACTCGTTTTCAATTAATTCATTAACTACTACATTGTAACTGTTGTGAGCCCTGTTATATGAAAATTAGTTATCTTGATTTTACAAAAGTAAAAAAAAATAAAAAGAACAGATGAAGAAGTAACTACATTTATTGCAAATATTGAATTTTCTTATAAATTGGGGTATGTCAGTAAATGTTTTGCAAATATCGGTACAATTTTGAAGTCATGTATATTTTGTGTGTAAAGTATTTATTTCATCTGCGCTGTATGAAAATAGAATATTTAAGACAAATAATGTACACTAACTAACTAATTAACGTATTTCAGTTAGTAAATCAACTACTTAGTGGGGTTTACCAGTACATATAATGACGGTGTGCGAGTTTGTAGAATTTTGTGCAGTAAGTCTATACGAAATGCAGTTTTCTGCATTTGATTCTTAAGACTGTATATAAACTTTGTGAACATAAAAGATGAATTCATCTTCAAAAATGCAGTCGTGTGAATCTAGTACCCGATATAAATAATCCTCTATACCAATAAATTGTGCGTCTTGCGGGCTCTTAATATTAAGTATTATAATTGTGGGTCCATTAGTTCTGTTAAAGAAAAGGAAAATTGTTTCGTGTGCAGGTGGAAATTAAATGCCAATTTATTCAAAAACTACTGAAGATAGATAATTTTATTGACGCCAAGTGATTGCTTAACTGGTTGGACACACTTCCACTCCTTCCTATCCTGAGCAAATCTTCGCATTTCTCTAAAACTAGAACATCCTACATCCTTAACTATTTGCGAACTGTAATCTAATCTAAATCTACTTCTACTCCTCTTAATTTTTGTTTCTGTCTCCAATATGTCTCTGACTAGATTTTCATGCCCAGAAGGTGTCCTACCAACCTATCTTGCCTATTCCTTATTGACATTCATAGAGTCCCCTGTTCTCCTACTCCTCCTAATACCTTCTAATTTCTAACCTTCTCTATCCACGTTATCCTCATCATTCGCCTATAACACCACATTTCGAACGCTTTTAACCTTTTCTTTTCCGCCGCGTTACCGTCCATGTTTCGTAACCGTACAGCCCTGCGCTCCAAAAATGCACATTTAACATGGAAGTCAATTCTTTTTATTGAAGGTGACTCGGCCCTACGCTATCCTCTGCTTTATATCCCTACTATCTCTTCCGTCCTGACTTATCTAACTTCCCAGATACCTAAAAGCAACCACTTCTTCTGATCTTTCGTCTCCTATCTTTATATTCACTCTTTCTTCCCTTGCAAGCCAGTATTTTTATGTTACATTTATTAATTTTCATTCAATACTGTTTTGTTAATATCGCTTCCATTGTATTTAAAGCTATCTCTAACTCCTCCTTGCTAGATGCTAATACTGCTATATCATCTGCAAATCTTAGCATACTAATCTTTTGCCCCTCTTCTTCGATGTATAGTGGATAAGATTTTTTTTTCACATTAATATAAAAAATATTATATGTCAAAAAACAGTGTATTAAAAAAGTTACATTTATTTAAAGCATAATCTTTAGAAAAACATAATAAAAAACGTACCTCGGAATCCGTCACCAACTACATATTCGTTTTAAGCGACCCTCAAAACCTCCGAGTAGCTAATTTCAACTGATTTTTAATGTATTTAAAAGATTACTTCTGGAGACGATGTGTATAAAGGTCGCCCCAGGCTCCAGATTGGACTTATTTCATTTCATTATTGACCGATTTTTTTTGTATTTTTCTTATGCACCCATGCATTTTTGAAGATGAATTGACCTCTTATGCTCACAAAGTTTTTAGACGGTCTCACGAATGGAATTCAGAAAACCGCATCTTTGTCCGACTTATTGCACAAAAATTTGAAGGTTTGACCAATTTGGTGGTTTATTTTCTTGACTATTTCGAATTTGAAGGATTTCAATAAAAAATGGCTAATGACTAGTTTTAGCGCATAAACGCTTCCTCGTCCTACATTAATTTTTATAAAACAGCATTAGAAACCAAATTCGCTGGGAAAAATGTTTTGCTAATAAATATATTCTTTAAGTAAGAGTCCTTTCCATCGTTTACACGAAAACGTTGCATGTTGCATGCTAACAAACGGAGAACGAGCAGTTGCGCGAGCAGTTGCAAAAGCAGAGAATTTTGAAATCTATTTCCTGTGGTCATCTTGATAATATGAATCACAAATGGGTATACATATGTAGTAATAATAGCTGATTGTACAACTGCGTAGTAAGATAATTTGAGAATGTGAACTTTTTGTTTCGTTTATTTTCATGAATATTTTCCAAAAGACTTTGATACATATAGTTTTTAATAGAATCCGAATACAGCATTTAAAAACTCTCTTACCTCAAAATTTTGTGTACTAAAGTATCAAAGTATTCATTTCTTTTAAATTCAGCCCAGTTCCATCTAAATTTGTTGCACCTCTACAATTGATACCCTATTGGTAATAAAAGCATTTTAAACTTTGTTTTTCATTTTACTTTTCCCCATATGCATTTGTCGGTAATTAACGTTATTAAACGATACGGAGGAGGCTTTACAATGACGTATACATAATGGCCCAGTAATACAGTGGTTCAATAAATCGGATTCTTTAATAATAATTCTTGTGTACATATTTTTCTCAAATGTTTTGATAGTCGCACTCACATTGGACATTGTAGGAATGTACTTTTCTTAATTATCACGGATACTTTACTTCGTCATTTTGTAGTGAAATTTACTGTTAGGATGTCTCCCTTGTACCCATATGTCAATCATTTTTATTTATTACCTCTTTTCTTTACATTCGCATTTTTTACAATTCCTAAGCAATTTTCTTCAATTGTTTATTTACATTACCTGGTTGGTATATTCAGAACATAATATCATTACAATCGTTATAATTCTTCGATGCTGTCCAGGCTTAATCAGTCTCCTAATACCTTTATAGATTTTTTTAGAAAGTGGTTTCTTATTCTCCGTCTTTTTCTAAATCATGATTGACGTCATTTCAATTGCTTAAACGTCGATCTGTAACATCTATTTCCAACTGACCTCATGCCAATCACTTCTGTAAAAGCCCATGAAACTCCTATCCTGATTATGAGAATGAAAAATTCAGGAGTCTGACAAAAGAAGTAATCAATAAATGCTGTATTTTCCAGTCTCAAACATTGTTGCAGTTTTAATTTTACATTTTATTTCTATCGATCATTATTATTCACAAACTTTGAATATAATTCAATTTATTACATTAAAGGAAATACCTACAATTTAAATATGCCCCAAGATAAGGTTACAAGCAATAGGTTAATAGAATATCATTCAGCTAGAGCCTATCATATAATTACAGCGTCGGCATAACTACAATAGAGAAGGTCAGTATCAGTCTTCGGCGGTCGAATTCACCCTCTGTTAATTGTATGCCATTCTGTCCATATTTCGTAGGTTCTAGGAACTCAATTGCTCGAGGCGGGGTATTGCGCTGGTGGGTTTTTGCCCATACTCGGTTCTGCGAACTTTTTTTTTTGTCACTTCAATTGTTATCCGTTTATTTTTTAGTAAATTTGTTGTAAATAAAGTTTTTGTATATAGTGTTAATTATTGATGTTTTATTCACTAAAGTGAAGTCACGGCAACCAAACATTTTATACCAAGTATTCGACAACTATTATTGAAGAACTGTCTCCGACTAATAGAAACTACTAAAGCTAGTTTAAATAAATCTCTAACTTCAAATGCTTTAAGAATGAAAGATAATCTGAATATTACTGTTCCAGTATTTTCCTTAATAAGTGACCCAAGAAAATCGCAGAAAAACATACACCTGGGTAGATGGATACCGAATCGAACCAGTATCCTTCCGAATTATCTAAACCCCTAGGCCAGGACGTCCATGACGCTTGTCGTGATGGGTAAAAAAACTTTTCTAGCTACTAATACTAGTAGGCTAGCAGTTCCTCCAAACTACGCCGGAGGGTAGTTCCTTTTAAATGCTAGGCAAAAGTCGAAATCTCTAGGTCATGCTGCCCAAGACGCTCGTTGTGTGTCCTCGTTGGGTGTTGCATTTTCACCAGTTGCTAATGCTGGTAAATGAATAGTGCCTCCGGACTATGGTAGAAGGTCCTCTTCAATTTCTTTTTAGGAATCGTGGGAATGAGTGGATGGTGGTTGGGGTGAGAAATATGAAACGGAGAAATGGAAATAGAAGAGAATGAAAGTGAAAGCATTTGCCTAATAAGTTTCCAAGGAAACCACAGAAAAAAGAATTAATGTCCTCCCGAATACTAAGCAATGGTCTAAACCTTTAGGTCATGCCGCACTTTTGTCAGAACTTATACTTTTATCTCAACCTACTTAGACGGGTAGGAGGGTCTGGAGGCACTTAAAGACCAGTGGTGTAGAGAACTCCCTCAACAAGGGTGGTTTTAAGTCTATTATTTTTATGCCATGTTAAAGCGCGAGTGTAATATTTGCACATGTCTGTAACACGTTTTTGTATGTAAAGAAAACTATTCTACATTTCGAAATTTAAAATTCCTTATATTCCTAATTCAAAATAGCCTTCCTGCTCAATAGTCTAATAATCTGCTAGTATCACCTAAATCCAGTACTGTCAATGTGTTCTGTAATTTAAGTATGCTTTTCAGATGTATAAATATGGTATGCAATTTATGATGTAATTTCAAAAATGATTTAATTGAATTCACTTTAAATACATTTACATTACAAGGTAATTTTTATAATTTCTGTTTCAACACTTAACTGTACTAGCGGCAAATAATGAAAGTAATTGTATCTACTGAGATAAGTAAGAGGATACAACAGCGCTTTGGCTTTTAATCGGTCCGAACTCAGTTTGTAATCAATTCCCAAACTTTATTTCCTCAACTATTCGACTGAACCGGTGTCCTTTTGAATGCTAAGCAAAAATCCAAACCTCTAGGTCATGCTGTCTAAGCCGCTCGTCGTGGCGGGTGAAAAAAAACTAGGGTTGCATTCCCACCAGTTACTAATGTTAGTAGACGAGCAGTGCCTTTCGACTAGCGCGGAAAGCCCTCTTCAACCTCCTTTTAGGAACCGTAGAAATGGATGGGCGGTGTTTGGAGTGAAAAAGATGAGACGGACGGAATGAAGACAGATGAGACTGAAAGATTATCTGTGGAACGTTACTGTCTCAGCATTGGCCCAAGTGATCCAAGGACACCACAGAAAAACCTTTTTTACGCATTTTTGTATGTATAACAAAACTATCCTACATTTTGAAGTTTAAAATTCCTTATATTCCTGATACAAACAAAAAACACTGCTCAATAATCTGCCAGTATCTCCTAAATCAAGTACTGTCGATGTGTTCTATAATTTAAGTATGTTTTTCAGATGTATAAAATGATTTAATTGAATTCACTTTCAATACATTTACATTAAAAGGTAATTTCTTTTTCAACACTTAATAGTATTACCGGCAAATAATGGGAGTAATTGTATCCACCGACATATGTAAGTCAAAGGATATAACAACGCTTTGGCTTTTAATCGATCTGAACTCAGTTTCTAATTAATTCCCGAACTTTATTTTCTCGACTATTCGATCGAACCTGTATCCTTTTGAATGCTAAGCACCAGTCCAAATCTTTGTGCCATGCTATCCAAGCCGCTCGCCGTGGCGGGTATGAAAAACTTTTGGGTGTTGGATTCCAACCGGTTACTATTTCTGGTGGACGTGTAGTGCCTTGGGACTAGGGCGGAAGGCCCTCTTGAACCTCCTTTTAGGAATCGTGGGAATGGATGGGTGGTGATTGGAATGAGAAAGATGAGACAAACGAAATGAAGACAGAGGATAGTGAAAGATTATCTGTAGAACATTACTGTTCAGGCATTGGTCCAAGTGACCCAAGAAAACCACAGAAAATCTTGATCCAGGGTAAATGGAATCGCAATCGAACCGGTGTTAAACAAAAGTCCAAACCTCTAGAGCTAGACCATGCTATCCAAGCCGCTGTCGTGGCGGGGTAAAGCAACCTTTGGGTGTTGTATTCTGAGCAGCTACTAATGCTGGTAGACGAGCAGTGCCTCCGGACTACATCGGAATTTAGAGCGGAATACCCTCTTCATCGTCCTCATAGTGAAAATGGGTGGGTGGTGGTTGGGGTGAGAAATATGAAACGGAGAAATGGAAACAGAAGAGAGTGAAAGATTATCTGTGGAATGTTACTGCCCCAGCATTTGCTTAACTGATCCAAGGAAACCACAGAAAAACGAATTAGTGTCTTCCCAAATGCTAAGTAATGGTCTAAACATTTAGGTCATGCCGCACTTTTTTCAGAACTTATACTTTTATCTCAACCTACTTAGACGGGTGGGAAGGTCTGCAGGCACTTAATGATCAGTGGTGTTGAGAACTCCCTCGACTAGGGTGGTTTTAAGTGTATTATTTTTATGCCAAGTTAAAGCGCGAGTGTAATATTTGCACATGTCTGTAACACGTTTTTGTATGTAAACAAAAGTATCCTACATTTCGCAAATTGAAATTCCTTATATTCCTGATACAAAGAACCCCCCTGTTCAACAATTCAATATTCTAAATATGGTATGTAATTAATGATGTAATTTCAAAAATGATTTAATTAAATTCACTTTCAATACATTTACATTACAAGGTAATTTTTGTAATTTCTCTTTCAACACTTAACAGTACTACTGGCAAATAATGGGAGTAATTGTATCTACCGACATAAGTAAAAGGATACAACAACGCTTTGGCTTTTAATCGGTCTGAACTCAGTTTCTAATCAATTCCCGTTCGCCAAATATACTCACTTCGGAAACTACAGTCGGTTTTAACATATCATATATCATATTCTTATTGCAATAGTTTATCAGCAACGATGCTTTTAAGGTGGTTAACTTTAGTGTTTGTCGTGCATATCGTCTTGACCAGTGATAATTCTTACATTCCTATTACACAAAATTTAATACGATATTATGTCGAACTTATTACAAGGGAAATGCAAAGAGCGCTTACAAGTGTTCTACCGACAAGTGCTCACTTCTATGAACCGGAGAGTCCTGAGATCATAGGTAATATACAATAAGTACAAAAATTGTTTAAAGAAGAAATAGGAAGTGACAAAAAACTATTTGAATGTTCTGCAAAATTAGAAATAACGTTAGATTAGTACTTAGGCTTTTCACTAACATGATGAAACGTACAATTATTATTTTAAAAATGGGACTTTCTTGTATTTTACTAAGAAAACTAATGGAAGTCATTCAAATTAAATGAGCATTATTTGGAGACTAATCAAGTAAATTAACTCACGATAAGTTATGCCAAAAACAATTCGATGATTCACTGACTACATTTTATTTTAACTTTTACCTGATGGGAATTTTATAAAGAAAAAGTCGTTACTAGGTTTTTCTGATGGCTCATAGTAGAACCAGTGAACACTTTGTTTCTTCGCCTGATTCATGCCTTTTTTTTGTATTACATGAAAATTTACGAACGAGCGCTGGTTTTTTCCATGTACGACAATAGATCAGTAGAGGAAAATTCCCAACTCGAACCAAAAACTACCTTGCCGATGTAACGCGGAAAATTTTTTCAAGTTATCACTTGACCAAATGACCGAATTACCGCGTTTCACTGTGTATTTTTAATTGAGTGCGAATTTTCCCGTTCTTCGTCTCATATTCAATTAAATTAATTGTAATTTTCGTAGTGAAAGTTTTTATCGGGTTTACATGTACAGAGTGAGGGTTGCATATTTTATCGTATGGTCCAGTGCATCAGATAAAAAATAAAGAGTCATATCACACAGCCAGTATTATGAAATGTTGTGTATTAAATCACAATATTATAATTTCAAGGTCACTGGAAACACCCATTCTTATATAACTAAAAATAAACGGTACATTCCATTATTTATGTAAGTATCTGCCGATAGTTAAAATCACTTTTATCATTTATCATCATCTTAAGGTCGTCAGTCTTAAGACTGGTTGGACACGCACCTCCATTCGTTCCTATCCTGAGCTTTTCGCATTTCCCTAAAAGTAAAACAACCTATATCCTTAATTATTTGTGAACAGTAATCTAATCCAGGTCTACTTCTACCCCTCCCAACTTCCGTTTCTGCCTCTAATATGTCTCTGACTAGACCTTCATGCCTGAGAAGGTGTCCTACTAACCTACCCTGTCTATTTCTTATTGACTTCCATTGAGTCCTCTCTTATTCTATTCTTTCTAATACCTCATCATTTCTAACCTTCTCTATCCACGGTATCCTCATCATACACCGGTAACACCACGTTTCGAACGCTTTTAAGCTTTTCTTTTCCGCCGCTGAAGCTATCTCTAACTCCTCCTTACCAGATGCTTATACTGCTATATCATCTGCAAATCTAAGCATACTAATCATTTGCCCCTGTGTATCTATCCCTACAGTTGTACTGTGTTTAATGATTTGATCGCGCCTTCGATGTATACATTAAAAAGTATCGGTGGCAGTGTGCATCCCTGTCTGACTCCCTTCTTGATATTTATTTTTCTACGTTTCAGCTAAAGCTCTATAGCTGCCTGTTGCTACTAAGTATCATTCTATCTCTGTAACTCATCCTCACATTTTTAAATATACTTAACATCTTGTCCCATTTAACATTGTCAAAAGCTTTTTCTAAAGCTGAATGACTTCCCTCGTTCTTCTATTACTTCTTAACCCAAATTGATAAAAAAAATATGATTAAATGGTGTCAACAGTAAAACGCATGTAGTTGCATGCTGAATATACAGCATAAAGCTCAGAGCAGTATGCGCATAAATCACACAAGTCCTGACTGTGAGTTAGACGTAGAAGGAAGTTGATTTCTGCAATCTCTATTGTAAGTAACTTTTGTAAATTGCTAATTATAGGCAATTCAAAATATGCAGGATACGTCGAATGTAATTTCAATTTTGTATCTTATATATACATATACGTATTAGTATTTTTGTGTATTTGAAATCAATATTGCAGAAAAGATGGGAATAATAAAATCAGTAATCGGAATAAGGAAAACATATTCTCCTCGAACTTATTAAATCTATGTGTTAGATTCTAGTAATTATAATGAAGAACACATATTTTACAAAGATATTTCTGAACTCGGCACTAAACGAAAAAACTAGAGCTACTTAAATTTTCATAAATAATATTATTGTGTTCAAGGTAGAGTAAACAATTTTGGCAAAGTACTAACTTTATGAAATGAAGACAATATTCAAATTTACTTTTTAATATAGTTTCTTAAAATTAGTATACTTATAATGCTGATGAAAATATAGTTTATTGACGTTAGCCTGTTTTTTTTACTAGTAGGAAATCATTTATCAATTTGTTAATTACTGAACGAACAGAGTAGAAGTGTTGTTCTTACTAGACTTTTTGTTATTTTATTTAAATATTCTTCATCTTATTCTAATGTTTTATTTTGGGAAATATTTAATTACATTTACAGATTTTTTGCATTAAATCGGATATTCAATCATTACATTTTATTTAAGAATTAGTGAAAGTCGTTTCAAATTTTAAATATTTTTTATATTTTTCTTTTTCACTAAGTGTAATATTTCTGCAGGTAGTTATAAAAGCAAAAAAGACGTGTACTATAAACTAGATAAATTTTCATCCTTATTCATCATAATATAATATATAATAAAATACAAGCTGCACTATAATAACAATAACAACTCAATTCAGTGTTTGTAGTATAGGCAATTATATAAAAAAAACATTTTTTGTAAGATAAATGCTGCGGAACACGTGAAGTGTAAAAATTATTAGAAAGTGAAATTTATCATTTATTTTATTGTACGATAATGATATTATTACACTGTGTAGCGTATCTTTCTGCATATAAAACCTAAAAGAGAAAATGTTAAATTCTGCAGAAACGGAATTTTTGATCATCTTTTGTTTGAACTTATTTTACCTATCGAATATGGCTAAATATACGTAATATTACTTTACGATCAATTTTATTTTACATTAATTTAATTCTAGGCTAATTATTGTCATTTATACAAACCTTAACTTACATGTATATATGTTTAGCTCTGACAACTTTCTAGTTTCGGTAATTTATGAATACAAGGACTAATATCTACGATATGTAGTAATTTCAGAAAGTAATGATACGATAAAAGGCAGTTTTTTGGCTATCAATTTTAAATTTAAAATATATACGTATATGGAGTTTATGGATTGAAATTTTCAAAAGAATTGACGAAATATAAAAGGTGCGTTGTCACTGAAATTTGTACAATTATCACATGAGGCGTGGAAGGAACTGTCATAATGTTTGCCTCAATATCTTCGAAATCTTTCGATTAGACAAGAATTATCAGTAGCACTAGCAGTAACACTAGCCTGACATCAAAAGATTTCTTTATACAGGTCAAGGAGTCCGAAAATACCAGGTAATCGAGCTCAAAACTTAACTATTCTCTCTAAATAATTTCAATATCTTGTAGCATGTCACTATAGCAGTATAAGCATTTAGGAAGGAGGAGTTAGAGACAGCTTTCAATAGAATCGAAACGGTATTGGAAAAACAGTACTGTATGAAAATAAATAAAACTTCTATGCTGGCGAACAGTTAACTCAGAAATTCGAAAAACTGTTAGAGGTGTATGTTTAAAGCGCGGCGCTATACGGGTGCGAAACATGGACAGTGGGCGCAGCGGAAAAGAATAGATTTAGTAGTATTCGATATGTGGTGTTGCAGGCGGATGATGAGGATACCGTGGATAGAGAAGGTTAGAAATGAAGAGATATTAGAATGAAAAGGATAACAGAGTACTATACGGAAGTCAATAAAAAATAGACGAGGTAGGTTGGTAGGATACCTTCTCAGGCATGGAGCTCTAGTCAGAGACAGATTAGAGGCAGAAACTGAAGCTAAAAGAAGTTGAGTTAGACCTAGAGTAGATTACTGTTCGCAAATAGTTAAGGATGTGAGATGGTCTAGTTTTAGAGAAATGCGAAGATTAACTGAGGATAGGAAAGAGTGGAGGTGCGTGTCCAAGCAGTCTTAGGACTGACGACCTTATGATGTAGCTTGTCAAATACAGGTATAACTACCTTCTGTACATCATTGACTTCTTCTCTCAAAAATTTGTCAATCTACTTATAAAACTTTGGTACAATCTATCTATGATACTATTTTGGTAATAATATATATCAATTGAGGAGTAGTCATAGAAATACATATTTATGTTTCTTTTTACTATCCTACCATTAAAGAGTAACCTGCATCTGCATCTCTAACAAAGATATCATAATTTGGTCTATATCCAGACAATGATAATGCTAATAAATAACCTTTAGTATGGGAATCAGCAAATATAAAAAGCCCGATTGGCATAATATGTAAATCCAAAATAAGAATAAATTTATTTCGTACATTTGATGAAAGTGGGATATTTTTCTATATTAACATAATGTTTTTGTCTAGTTTTTAATATTAGATCAGTCTGCAAAATTACAATTTCATTATACAGCGTCTTTTTTAATATGCAATGATCTTTTCGCAAATATGCGTCACAATCAAATCATTTTTAAAATGAAAAGAAAGACACACTGCACATCATCGATTTCGAGATAATAGATCGAAAAGAACAATTGCTGACAGTATGTAAAACGCATGTTGTTACCTGCT